TTGTTTCTTTGTTTGTTTTTTGCTTTATCACAACGGGTTTGTTGCCAGAAGACAAGTGTCATGAAAACCATCACTAACCCTAAACCAACACGGGAAAGGAAAAGACTGCCATCCACATTATCACCACTGGACGTGTAGAATTGGGCAAGTCTACCACTACTGACCATCTGATCTGTGAATGTGGTTGGGTCAATAAAAGAACTATCAAAAAATTTGAGGAGAGGCTGCTGGGATGGGAAGGGGCTCCTTCAACTATGCCTGCGTCTTGGCTGCCCTGAAAGCTGAATGTGAACGTGGTGTCACCATTGAGATCTCCCTATGGAAACCTGAGAGTAGCTAGCACTATGCATCCGTCACTGATGCCCCAGGACACCAAGACTCTCTCCAAACCATGATTGCAGGCTCGTCTCGGGCTGACCGTGCTGTCCTGATCCTTGCTGTTGGTGTCGGTGAATTTCAGGCAGGCGTCTCTGAGGACGGGCAGACCCGTGAGCTTGCCCTTCTGGCTTCCACACCAGGTGTGAAACAACTAATGGTTGGTGTTCACAGAATGGATTCTACTGAGAGATGCGAGGAAATCGTGAAGGAAGTCAGCACCTACGTTGAGAAAACTGGCTACAGCCCTGACACAGCATGTGTGCCAATTTCTGGTTGGAATGGTAACAATGTGCTGGCGCCAAGTGCCAACAGCCCGCCTTGTTGGTTTGAGGGATGGAAAGTCGCCTGTGAAGATGGGAAATGCTGGTGGAACCGCACTGTGTGAGGCTCCAGATTGCGTTTCTGCCACTGTTTCTGCCTCAAAGGCCTTGACTCTTCCCCTCCAGGACGTCTACAGAATCAGTGCTACTGGTTCTGTCCCTGTGGGCTGACTGGATCTGGTACCCTCATATCCACCAGGGTGGTCACCCTTGCTCCAGCCATGTTACAACTGAGGCAAAGTCTGTTGAAACACACTATGAAGCTTTGAGTGAGGCTCTTCCTGGGGACAATGTGGGCTTCAATGCCAAGAGCATATCTGTCAAAGATGTTCGTCGTGGCAATGTTGCTGGTGACAGCAAAAGTGACCTACCCGTGGAAGCAGCTGGCTTCACGGCTCAGGTGCGGGAGATGCACCAGCAGCCGCGCTGATGGTCACGCGGCCCACGTTGTTGATGAGTTTGGGGAGCTGAAGGAGGAGACTGATGATCGTTCTGGAAGAAAAGCTGGAAGATGGTCCCGATTCTCGAAATCTGCTGATGTTGCCCTGATTGATATGGCTCCTGGCAAGCCCATGTGTGTTGAGAGCTTCTCTGACTATCCCCCTCTGGGTTGTTTTGCTGTTGGTGACGTGAGAGATGTGAGAGATGCTTGCTGTGGGTGTCATCAAAGCAGTGGGCAAGAAGGCAGCTGGGGCTGGCAAGGTCACCACGTCTGCGGGGAAAGCTCATAGGCTAAATGGATATTAACCCCGGTACCTGCCACTGCGGTCTTCACCGTGGTGGTCTCAGAACTATTTGTGTCATTGGCCATTGAAGTTTAATAGGAAAAGACTGATTGATGATAACAACATGTCATAAAACAAAAGGACAGAGGCACCTGGGGGGCTCAGTGGATTAAAGCCTCTGCCTTTGGCTCAGGTCATGACCTCAGGGTCCTGGGATCGAGAAGGCTGTCTGCTCAGCAGGGAGCCTGCTTCCTCCTCTCTCTCTCTCTGCCTGCCTCTCTGCCTGCTTGTGATCTCTGTCAAATAAATAAATAAAATCTTTAAAAAAAAAAAAAGGAGAATGTTTTGTGGACCATTTTGTTTTCGTGCGTCTGTGGCAGTTTTAAGCTATTAGTTGTTTTTTGTTTTGTTTTGCTTTGTTACTTAGAGAGATCCCTATTAAACTAGGGGGGGTGGGGTGGGAGGTGCAGAGGGAGGGGGAGGGGGGAATCTCTAGAAGGCTCCATGCTGAGCGTGCCTCAGTCACATGGACCCAGAGATCACAATATGAGCAGAAATCAAGAGTCAGATGCTCCACCATCTCAGCCACCCAGGCATGCCTTATTAGTTTTTAAAACCAGTATTTTTTTTATTAACATATAACATATTATTAGCCCCAGGGGTACAGGTCTGTGAATTGCCAGGTTTACACACTTCACCATAGCACATGCCCTCCCCAATGTCCATAACCCCACCACCCTCTCCCGAACCCCCTCCCCCCAGCAACCCTCAGTTTGTTTTGTGAGATTAAGAGTCTCTTACGGTTTGTCTCCCTCCCGATCCCATCTTGTTTCATTTATTCCTTTCCTATCCCCCAAGCCCCCCACGTTGCCTCTCAACTTCCTCATATCAGGGAGATCATATGATAATTGTCTTTCTCTGACTGACTTATTTCGATCAGCATAATGCCCTCTAGTTCCATCCACGTCGTCACAATTGGCAAGATTTCATTTCTTTTGATGATTGCATAGTATTCATATATGTATATATATATGTGTATATATATACACATATATATATATATATATCATGTCTTCTTTATCCATTCATCTGTTGATGGACATCTGGGTTCTTTCCACAGTTTGGCTATTGTGGACATTGCTGCTGTAAACATTGGGGTGCACGTGCCCCTTCGGATCACTACATTTGTAACTTTAGGGTAAAGTTAATGGGTTGTAGGGCAGCTCTATTACAACCCAGCTCTAAAATGGCTGGGTTATAGGGCAGCTCTATTTTCAACTTTTTGAGGAACCTCCATGCTGTTTGCCAGAGTGAAAACCAGTACTTTTTAATGGAAATAACTTGACCAAAAGCCTGTCACAGAATTCTGAGACCCATTAAAACAAAAGTTTAGTGAGAAGCCCGTCTCTTCTTTTGGTCCACACCATAACCTTGTATAGTATGGTTCAGGTAAAAGATTGAGAGTTGCACAGACCCTATTTCTGGTGTTAAAATATGCTGAAACTAAAATTGGGTTAACCCTTCTTTTCCCGGGTGGGGGACTTGAGTTTTTCCACCTTGTCTCAGGGAAAGAAGCTCTGTTTGAGTACATAGTAAAACCTATGGGAAAAGGGGGTCTGTCAGTGCAACACATCTTCTCATAGAACAGATAAGCAAAGAATAACACCACAGGATAGTTCATAAAACAGGTTAAATTCTGTAATACAAAGTCAATGTGTTGCATAGAAAATGTGTATCATATCACTGTGGAATAAACTTGATAGATTATCACCTTTTCATTTCCCAGTTAGTGGAATGCATTGTCACACTTATAAATATTGAAATAGGGTGCCTGGGTGGCTCAGCTGGTTGAGTGTCTGTCTTTGGCTCAGGTCATGATCCCAGGGTCCTGGAATCGAGCCCTGCATCGGGCTCCTTGCTCAGCAGAGAGCCTGCTTCTTCCTCTCCCTCTGCCTTCTGCTCTCCCTGCTTGTGCTCTCTCTCAAATAAATAAATCAAATCATATCTATATATCTATATATCTATATCTTAAAAGGTGAGGCATTCAATAGCATTACTTTATTTAATGGTAGCGTTAACTGTATCTAGATTGTGGGAAAAGAAAATCTACTGGAAGTTGTTTACTGTTACTTAAGGACTAGAAATCCACTTCCTATAAGAATTTTCATCTTTAATGATCAAGGTTAGGGGAAGAGGGAATATTACTGCACTGGGGATTCAACACAAAGTTTGGCAAAAGTTCACCTAATGAGCGGAAGGACATGTTTTGGGCTGGAGTGTATGGTAGCTTTGTTTTGTTTTTTTTTTTTTAAGATTTTATTTTTTTGAGATAGAGCAGGAGGTGGGGGGATCATGAGCAGTGGGGAAGTGTTGAACAGGGAGCCGGATGTGGGACTTGATCCCAGGACCCTGGGATCGTGACCTGAGCTGAAGGCAGATGCTCAACCGACTGAGCACCCCAGGCGCCCCTAATTCTTGGCTTTAGATAGCCGGCAAATCTCTTGGAACACTGGTCCATTTGATAAAGCAACTGTGAATCTTGACCGTTTGAACATGAGTTCTGTCAGGATCCTGTTTGGTCCTTGAATAGGCTTCCCCACCCCCCTAGGAAGGGGAACTTTTTCAGGCTGCTTTGAGTATGGCAAAAAAAGCACACAGGACACCTTGTGTTTTATAAGGCAAACGATGCTATGTGAAATGTATCCTATAACTCGGCAGCCCTAGGTAAGAAATGACTGCAATTGAAAATTTTTTTCATTTAGTTGTAAGCTAGGTAAAATGGTCTCTTAACAGTACTACCAAAGGCCCTGATGAGGCCTGTAAATTAGAAATAAAAGATTTTGTCCACAACTCAAAAAAAAAAAAAGAGAGAGATTTTATATATGCATTTATTTGAGAGAGAGAGAGCAGGAGCGTGAGCAGAGGGAGGGGCAGAGGGAGAAGCAGACTCCCCGTTGAGCAGGGAGACCAATGCAGGATTGTATCCCAGGACCCCGGTATCATGACCTGAGCCAAAGGCAGCTGCCCAGGTGCCCCTCTGGTTAATTACTTTGATTTGGAGCTTTCTAACTTGGGGAACTGCAAACGGGTTATAGATATGGACGCCCCCGTTTTCTTCCATTTTCACGCTCTACGTGAGCCACGAGACAGAAATCTTGAGGACTGCTATAAGTGCTTTGCTGTGTAGGATCTGCCTTCAGGACAGGTATAAGGCCCGACCAGTCAGAAAGATGTGCTACATTCTTTGGCCAATATTTGCTTTCGGATAGTTTGTTCTAACTTCTTTTCTTTTGTTGCCTGACGTATCTTTTTGTTGCCATTTAAACCCAATTTTGTTTCAAAATCGTATTTGGCTCATGGACAGGTGGAGTGACCTGTGTGGACATTCTATCCTACTCTTGAAACAGTTTACATAAATGTGGCTATTATCTTCCCCCGGGGCAGGGGGGTGTGGACCCAAATGAAGCAGGAGGCAGCAGGCAGAGTCTAAAATAAAATGTGGCCACAGACCATGGAAAAGGAACTCTCCCCGGGGTGGGGTGGGGACCGCTGGGGGTCAGCGGTGGTGGGACCGCAAGCACCAAGGGGTGGCGCGTGGCTTGGGAGAGGGGGGAGGTGGCACTCAGATGGCCACGCTGTTTTCCACCAGGCTGGGCAGCAGGTACTCATAAGGCATGTCCAGCTTTTCATTCCGGGTCTTGATTTCCTTCTCCAGGACAGCCAGCTCCTCCCTGAACTTCTTCAGCACAGCCTTGGGTCCGGGACCCGAAAAATACTCCACCTGGTGCTGGCCCAGAGCCACCTGGGTGGAGAGAGAAAGGCAGCTGAGAGCCCAGAACCCCCTCGGGCCTTGCTTGTTGCAGCCGCCCCTTCCTGGAAGCCCTCCGGGCAGCCCCCACCCCATCCCCCCACCATCATGGGCTGGCGTCGGCCCAGCTGCCAGACGATGGACATCTGCAGGGAGGCCTGATGGAAGCTGGGCAGTGTTGCCATCACTGTCTGCAGGGTCACGTCTTTGGTGGTCGGCGGGGGCATCCGCATGGTGCAGGGCGCGTTAGGGACCCAGGAGTACCAGTCCAGCTGGGGAGGGGCAGATATGCAGAGTCAGTGCCGGCAAAGCACGGAAAGCCCTTAGCCCGCCTGCCCCCAGCCCCGCCTCAGCTGCAGGTGCAAAGCCCCAGCAGCCCCCTGTGGCGAGTACCTGGCCCAGGTGCGTGGAGGAGTGCTGGCCGGTGCAGGTAAATATGCACATGGTGAGAAAGCGGCTCATCTGGTCCCGGGACTGCAGGGAGTTGGGGAAGCCTGCAAGGGGTTCCAGGGAGTTAGCGGCTGTGGGGCCAGGGACAGAAGCTCAGCTCAGACACAGGGCAGAGTGGGGAGAGGACAGGGGTGAGGAGGGCACCGTGGGTGCCCTCGGGATCCGTGGTGCTGACCGCAGACTGGGTCAGATTGGGGGGGGACCTGCTGGGAGGGTCGCACCCCGCGGGGCACGGCGAGAGCCAGTTGCAGTGCGGGTCAGGGGTTCAGCAACACTGGGAGCCGCAGGGGGACATCTACACCGCGCCGATGGGCAAGTCCTACGATTCAGGCTTTCACTGTGTTTTGTTTCGTTTTCTCAGGGAACTGGTTGTGAAACATTCACGGGTGACCAGTGGTCCCACTGCCTCCGGAACTAGAGGGGCTCTTGGGGCAGGGGATGGGATCCTGTCTCTAGCTGACAGCAAAGGAATCTGGGAAGGCCTTTGGGCATTTTCATAGGGTTGGAAATGCCTCTGGAAGATGGCACAGAAGTTCGAGAGGATTCTGGAGAGGTTCCCAGGGGAACGATCTTGCATGGGAGGCCCCAGGCGGGGGCTAATCCTACCTCGGTCCTGGGCCCCAAGCAGCCCGACCTCCGTGATCTCCCGACACCAGGACTGCAGCTCCAGATCGTCCCTCACGGCCTCGTCCGTCTTGTAGTGGAGATGCACGATACCCTGCACGTAGCTGTCCCCGACAATCCGAGAGCCCAAGCTCACTGGGAGCCTCGTGGCCCTGGGCTCCTCCCCACCGCCTTGCCGGGTCAGGGGCCCCAGGCCCCCAGCCCAGACCCGGACGTCCTGTCCTAGCGTCCCCTCCCCAGCCCTGCCTTCCCCCTCCTCACCGAGCGAGGATTTCCCAGAGCCGCAGGGCGTCTTGGGCATAGAAGGACGACTGCACTCCCAGGAGCCCCCGGTCGGCCAGGTCGTCGGGGGGGCAGAAGGAGCGGTAGGTGAGGAAGGCGCCCGCCCGCTTGAGCAGCTCCACGTGGCCTCCACCACCCGTGCTCACCACCTGGGGGGCGAGGGCCAGGCAGGGTCGGGCCCATCAGCCTGCCCGAGGCCAGAACCGGAGGGAGGGGTGAACCCCGTGATGCCCCTGGTCTCCTCGTACCTGGTCGAAGACTCCCATGTCAGAGATGAGCCCGTTCCGGGCCCGGACGTTAATTTCCAAGGTGTAACGCAGGTGGGGAATGATGAGCTGCGGGGACAAGAGCGGGAAGGGCAGAGTCAGAAGAGACGGCCAAGTCCCTGCGGGGAACACGGCTGAGGAGCGGGAAAAGCACAGACGTGAGCGCGGTGGCCCCCCGGACACCGCTGACTCACTGCTCTCTGATAACCCAAAGAAATCATCCTCCTTTTCTGTTTGTGTAAGGCTGCGCAAAGTCGAGCTCAGTTTCTCGTCTGTTTCGTTAGCAGCCTCTAAGTGGCCTTTTCCGAGTCATATGTATGTAGGATTTATATATTCATACGTGATACACATTCTTAGATAAAATTCCTCCCTGAAATTTAATGCTACAGCTATACTGTGTCTATCAGGTACTATATGTATATATGTGCTTTATACATAAAAATAGTACTTTTTTGCCTCCCCAGAAGCACTTTTGCCTCCTTGGGGGGCATAATGGGCCCCCACTGAGAATGCAGGGTCTAAACTGAGAACTTCATCTCCTACCCTTTTCCCTCTGTCCCTTCCACTCACCTTCTTTCTGTCCCTCAAACATGCCAAGCTTGTTCCGGCCACAGGACCTTTGCACTGGCTGATCCCTGTGCCTTGACCATCTCGAGGCTGGCTCCTTATAGTCTCGTTCTCAAAGGAGCCTCTCCTGGTCACCCAGCTTAACTCACTCTCCCATCACCCTGGCCTGCTTCTCTGCGTTGTACTTAGCACGGCTGACCTCCAGTACCTCCATTACTGCCTGTTAGCCCGTAACGGAAATGAAAAACCCAAAGATCAGGACCTTGGCTGTCTTGCTTCGCACCGGCATCTGGAATGGCTCGTGCCACACGGGACACGCCAAGAAAACAAGTGCGTAGGTGGGTACTCTGTCCTGCTCTTCCGCAGGGAGCCGGGCTACTATCCTCCCAAGCCCCCCAACTGCCCTACAGGTCACTAGTTTAGGACTCTTCAAAACGGGCAGGAAAAATACTTTGTGCTATTTGTATGGTCCCGTCTGGTTGGAGTCCTCATTCGTGGGCATGTTCTGTTTACACCACGTGCGTGTGTCTGTACTTTGAGAAGAGTAAGACTTTGCACCCCTCACCCCGCCGATGACTCATTCTCACCTTCTTGAGAGGACACGCTGCCCCATTCAGAAGGCACAGCAGGCTCTCGGCTCGCTCGTCTGTCCTGGCTGGCTCTCCCCACCCTCAGGGTCCCCAGGGAGGGTCTCCAGTGGCAGGACAATGCCACAGGGCGGGAGGGAGTAAGGAGCTACCTTGAAGACAGGGTGTATGGAGGGAAGGCACCTCATGGTGGCCACAGTGATGACCTCGGCCATCAAGTGTCCCCGCAGAAGGTGGGACTGCAGCTCGTGCATCTGGAAGTCGGAGCTGCGGACCCAGCACTTGGCCAGCAGCCAGGCCATTGGGGGATCCGTGGGCAGGAAAAGCGGCGGTGGAGGGGACCCCACGTGGGGCAGCTGGAGCTGGAGTGGGGACCAGAGAGTGGGATGAGTGCCAGGGACCCCCACGTCCCCTCTCTTTCGTCCCTTGCCCACCAGGCGCTGCTACTCCCGGGCAGACGCTACTCCTCACCTGCCTTCCCTACCTCCCTCCAGCCCCGCAACCTTCCACAGAAACTGCTCCCCCCGGCCTCCTCCCACCTCACTTCCCTTTTGCTCCCCGCAGTGTGGACGGGATTCAAACCCTCTGCTTCCTCCATCCCACACTCTCGCAACCCTGCCTCCACACGACTGGCTGCGCCCCCGGTCCTCAGCGGTCACTTTTCCTCCTTATTTGTCCCATTTCTGCAGGACCCTCGCGTGACTCCTCCCCCTCCCTCCCTGAACCCCGGCCAATCTAATTGCCCTCGGCACCCACAACTGCTCCCCACACCCGAGCCTATCATCACCTCCGCATTGGGCAGTCAGTGAACCCATCACCCTAGTCCCATGAGCCAGCATCCCCCTTCTGTGCCCCGTCCCGAAGCAGGTGCTGGCACAGCAGCCTCCGAAGGGCCTTCCCAGACCGCTCTGTCCTCAGAGGCTCCCTCTGCTCCAGAGTTTCCTCAGATTTGCCTGGTCTGTCTCTGCAGCCAGACCCCGACTTTCCTCCTTTCTTTCCCATTTCCTCCCGGGCATCTTAGGCCTCTGCCCTGAGCAAGAACTCGAGGAGCGGGAGCTCGGCCCCTGGGAGCAGAACCCGGGGTCCTCTCACCTGGATGGCCATGGGCAGGAGTTTCCCATCAGGCTGCAGCTTCAGCATGACCAGAGGGGCGGCCAGGTGCTGCTGGCTGCACAAGATGACATTGGCCTTGATCCCATCCAGAAGCGAGAAGTCCACCTCGAACAGAGTGCCTCTCTGCATGGGGTGGTTGGGAGGGGAGGGGATGGGCTGCTGTCATTGCGACTCTGTCTCGGTGGACCCGACACTTTCACACCCCCCCACAACCCCCCACCCCCCGTTCGCCGCTCTCACTCGGGGAGAAAAGCACGTGGTTGCATTTCTCACGATCACCTGATTTCTCCCGGCACGTCCCTCCCTGCCATCCAGCAGGAAGCTGGGCCCACAGCTGACCCCACGCCCATCTCCCTGCGTGGCCCCTTTAGGGCTCCCATGTCCGCACCTGGAGCTCCGTCTCCAGCTGGACCTTCAGCTCCTCCATCCCCGGGGGGAACATCAGGCGGGCGGGAAGCTGCTTCGAGCGCCTCAGCAGCATGGGGTTAGTGCCATTGAGGAACTGGTACCCAAATAAGGCGTCCTCTCGCCAGGAGTCACGGACCTTTACTGCAGAGGGCCGGTGTGGAGAGTGCCCTGGATCAGAGCGCCCCCACCGAGCCATCCCTGCCTGACCGCACACTTCTCGAGGGACGCAGGCCTCTGGTGTCCTGGCCCTGGCTCCCTGGCTGGGGGCTCTGGGGGGATCCTGGGAGAAGTACTGGAGCTGGGGGGTGGGGGTACTGACCAGCCAGTTTACTCTGGCCACACCAGAAAATCCGGTTGAAGTCATCCAGATCATTCCAGCAAGTCAGAACATTTAAAGAGTCTTTGATGGCCAGGTCTGCCAGCCTTAGGGGAAGAAGCAAAGAGTTTGAGTTGTGCTCAGAGTCTGACGGATAACCACAGGCACCCAGCTTAGGCCAGCCCAGCCCCATGCACCAGAACACCCTGGTGTTCCCTGGGACCCAACCCCTCTTGTTCTCACCCCTTAGCCAGCGAGGCTTCAAAATCAATCCTCTTGTCTTCCAGAAACCGCTCGTCTACAGGGAGGTCATTGATGGTGGCCCCGGCCACATTCAGGATTAGCCCATCTTTCCAGTTGCCCCATCTGTAGCCCAGAAGTGAAAGCAGATGTTGGTCCTAGCGAAGGGTCAGCAGGGCCAGGCCGGGAGGGGGCGGGGGGCGGGGAAGAGCCCCGGGCTGGCGCGGGGGCGGGGGGGGGGGGGGCGCTGACCGATACAGCTTCTTCCTCTCTTCCAGCTCCTGCTCCCTGTGCTGCTTGAACAGGCCCTGAGGGTCGTCTCCCACGGTCCTGCCTAGAGGTGGGGAGGAAAGGACGGGCGGGGAGGCCTCTCCTGAGAGCCTCTCCCGGGTCCCCGCCAAGGGCGCCTCCTCTGCGGGCCCTGACCCTTCAGCATCCCGGCCTCCCGCAGCAGCCCCGGCAACCGGCCCCCTCCACATCCCCCCCCCTGGCTCCCCTGCCCCCCCCCCCCCCCCCCCGGCGCTCACCAGTGCCCTCGGGGAGGCTCAGGACGCCACTGCCCTCCACCCAGCGGTAGCACGGGAACCTGAACTCGTCCCCGCCGGCCCCGGGGCCCTGCACGCAGATCCAGTTGCAGAACCAGGCGTCGTCCTGGAGGAAGTGCCGCTTGTGCACTTTGACGAACAGCAGGCGCCCCAGGTACTCCTGCACGTCCGCCTTGAATTCCGTCTCCTGCGGGCGGCAACAGGGCGCTCGGCGCGCGGGACGGGGCCCTTGGGCCGAGCCCTGCTCCGGCGGGACGCCCGTCCCTCAGCTTCTGGGAAAGGCGCGCGGAAGGAGCCCGAAGGAGCAGGGGAAGCGCAGGACGCAGGTGCGTCGGGGTGAGGCGGCAGGAAGGAACACCGGGAGGCGCGCTCCTTCCTTTGCTTCTTCCTCCCTGCCGACCCTGCCAGTGCGCAGCGCCGCGCAGGGAGAGAGAGCACCGGGGAGCGGGGAGACGCGGGGCCGAGCAGGCGGCAGGCTGTGCCGGACAGCCCAGGGCCCGGACAGGCCTCCCGCGGGACTGGCCGTCCGGGGACCCCTTCAGGAGGCAGCGCTCCGCCCGGCCGAAGGAGGGAAAAGCGGGGAGGCGTGCGGGGCAGGGGCTCAGGGAGACGCGGCGAGGAGGGCTGGGCGGCGTCGGGGAGCTGGGGCGCAGGGGAGAGGTCTGCGGACCGGCGCCCGAGCACATCGGGAAGTCTCAAAGGTCAGCCAGGGGCTTGGGATTCGTCCCGAGAACACTTGGGGGCACGTTTGGAGGTGGGACTGTTTGGAACAAACCCCAGAAGGGCTGGGAAGGGCCGCGCGGAAGCGGCGAGGCCGTGGGGAGGGTGAAGGTGACCCTGTTCAAGACACCTGACGGGGGAGGCGGGAGGGAGGACGCTGCTGGCGGAGCTCGAGGCGCGGAGGCACGAGGGGTCCAGGAGACAGAACGGACCCCGCCGGATTCCGGCTAGAGGCAGAGACGGAGAGGCGCGAGCGACCCCCGTGGTGGGGGGCGCGAGGGGAGGCCTGAGGGCCGGGAAGCGTCCGCGGGACAGACCGCCGCATCTGGGGCGTCTTGGAGAGAGCCGGACAGGCGATGAGAACTGGGGGGGTCGGGATCGGGGTGAGAACCAGGTAGGTGCGAGGAGCGCGGGGAAGTGCGTCGGCCCTTGGGTGCTGTCATCTCCGGGCTTCTTCCCCCCGACCGGTCCTCCGGCGCCCCCACCCCCGCCCGGGGCGGGCCAGACACCTAGCAACGCGGGAGAGGACTCGAAACAACAGCTTTGGGCATTACAGGACCCGGGAGGACAGGCGCCCCGGTCGAGGGAAGGCCGACTCCGCGCCAGGCCGGGCCCGCGAGCAGCGCGTCGGTCCCGAGGAGGCCGGGCGCGGGGACACGTCCCGAGCGCGCCCCGTGCGCCCCGGCCTGACCCCAGCGCCCCCAGCCCCGGCCCCGCGGTTCACCTGGCCTCGCGCCGGCCTCACGCTCGTCCTGATCGCCGCCTCCCCGTGCTCGCCCACCAGCCACAGCTGCACCCGGTTGTTGGAGCCCGCGCACAGCGAGGAGCCGGTGGACACGCGGATGCGGTAGAGACCCATCTTGACTAACGCGCCGTCTGAGGAGGAAGGAGAGCGGACGCTCTAATAACGGGCGCGACCCCGCCCCCGGGAGGCCCAGCGGTCGGAGGGTGCTGTGGCTTCCGGGTCCCTAACCGACCCGCACGCAGCCCAGAGATGAGCCCCAGCCCGAGAAGGCGGGCCTGGCGGGCACTCAGGGAGGCACGCGGTTCTCCAGGTGGAGGAGAAGAACGGAAGGGGGAAGCGGAGGCGGACGGGGGCAGCAAACCTGCAGGAAGCAGGCTTGGACGCCGGCCCCGCAAGCAGACAGAGCGCGTGGCTGGGCGCACACATGGGCTCCCCAGGTGGCTCGCCTCTGGGAAGGGTCCTGCTTATTAAGGTTGCAAGGGGTTGGGGGGGGTGCAGAATGAAGAGGGCAACTCGCTCTGCAGGTGTTTGTGAATAAGGCACGGCCTGGCCACCGAATTAACCCGATCAGCTTGGCACACTTGCAAGCCCTCCATGCGCAGAGCTCTGGGGCTCCTTCCGTTCTAGCCGAAAAGCCATTACCTCTCTGCTGCCTGCGGGACAAAAATCCATTCAAAGCTCCTGCTCAGGAAGCCTGCCCTCCTCCCGCCTCATCCCACCACCCTCCATCCTCATCTCTGCTCCATCTCCCGTCCACTGGGGTGCAGCCCTGTATTTCCCAGAACCCACAATGTCGTTTGCCTGTACTAGAAAAATTCTATGCAGCCTTCTAACCCCTGGTCTGACTTCAGGTTTTCAGAGAAGTCCTCCCTGGCGGTTCCAGCCTTCCCCGCCTTCCCCCTCCAGGGCTCATCAGCTTTCCTCTGTACTGAGTTTGCCCTGTGAGTGGTCCTATCGCCCCTCACTGACTAGGGTGGCAATTCCTGTGTGTGTCCACATCCCCTCCCTGCTCAGCTCCCCCAAGGCAAGGGCCACACTCCCAGCAGGACCAACCCAGGTTCATTCCCCGGGATTGAGCACCATATCAGGCTTGTGGGTGTCAAGAAGTGTTTGCTGAAACACACTGAACCCCAAGATCTGTTATACATGAGTCCTGCCCTGGGAGGGGAGGCAGGGCAAACTCCCGGACTGCGTGAACAGTAAAGGGAGAGTAAGACCAACTCCCACTCCGCTACCAGCTGGGCCAGAGCCCAGCGGCCTGCAACCTGCCCCAGCAGAAGGAACCCAGAGAACTGGGTGTGTAATGTCGGTGCTCTTGTTTGTTTAGGGGGAGTGGATTTACACGAGTCAAGGCGCAGAAGGGAGAGAGACGTCATTCCCTGGCATCCCCCGCTGGACCCAGCACCATCGCGTTTCCCCACCTCCCTCAGTCACTCGTCCATCTTTCCGAGGCCCATTCTGTAGAAGCTGGACATTTAGTTTGTTTGCGATATTGTCTCAGTGTAGAAGAAAAAAAAAAAAAAAAGGTGTTTTTTCCGGACACCTACCTTTGGCTCGGGTCATGATCTCGGGGTCATGGGTTCGAGCCCCGCATCCCTGCTCCGCGGGGAGTCTGCTTCTCCCTCTCCCCCTCCTCCCACTCATAGGCATTCTCTCTCAAATAAATAAATAAATAAATAAATAAATTTTTTTAAAGTGTTTGCGGAAAGAGATTACCAGGCATATACAGCATTTCTCAAATGTGGAGATACATGGAGTACCAAATCCCAGAAACGGAATTTCTGAGTCAAAAGCCTGTGTGCATTTGGCGAATGTAGGCTCTGTCCACACCCCCCCGACCTCGTGGAACTTGTACCAATTTACACTCGCATCAGTGAGCCCACCGATGCGTGAACTGCTCCCTCCGCTGCCCTCTCGCCCACAGCGTGTGGACAAGCACTTTTCCCTGGCCAGCCTGACAGGTGAGGAACCCGACATTCCTATCCTATGGCTGTAACTTCTCTCACTCTCCATGAGGATGAGCATCTCCTGCTGTAGAAGCTGTCTGTATGTCCTCTGCCGGGCACTAGCTGCTCCACTTTTCTATTGGATTTGGGTCTTTTTCTTCTTGATTTGTAGGAACTATTTATATGTTAAGGAAATTAGCCCCCTTCCAGCTCTGTCGTGACTAAAAGGGTCCCAATAGCGACAATGGTTGTTCCCTTACCTATACCAAGTCCTTGGAGCCTAGACTGTGGTCCACAATGTTATTCTCCATGAAAACCTGAGCTCTCGGGGTGCCTGAGGGGCTCAGGCGGTTGAGCACGTGCCTTCAGCTCGGGTCATGATCTCAGGGTCCTGGGATCGAGCCCCGCATCGGGTTCCCTGCTCAGCGGGGAGCCTGCTTCTCCCTCTGCCTCTCCCTGTGGCTCCCCCTGCTTATGCTCGCTCGCTCTCTCTCTCTCTCTCTCCATCAGGTAAATAAATAAGATCTTTAAAAGAAAAGAAAACCTGGGCTCTTTAGGGGGTACTTGGAGCAGGTAAAACTCAGGATACGCCTGAAACAGGCAATCGTTGCTAAAAATTTAAAAACTAAGTAAGGACATGCTCAAGAAAGTCCCAGGCAAGACCAACAGAGCATGACATCCAACTAGAGGGGCTCCCACTGGCTAGGTTGTGACATTTTGAGGAGCAAAACCTAAATAAATGGGGCTAATGGAAACAATAAATTTATCAGGATGCTTTGTGGCAAGTAACCAAAAAAATCTATTCAGAATGGCTCAGACGGCAGAGAAAAATTATCATTTCAGCAGATCACGAGTCCACAAGGTAAGTTGTCTCCAGGGCTGCTAGTTCAGCGGCCACACGGCATCGCCAGGAACCAGGGTTCTGTCTTCTCCATCCTTCCTGAGTGAGCTCCTCAGCGAGTCTCCTCGCTGGCAAAACGGCGCTGCTGCTCCAACCATCCCACATGGACAGAGCGACACACAGTGGGAAAAGAAGGACCATGTCTCCCTGCGCCTCCCGTTTTAAGAGTGGGAGAGGCTGGAGGCATCTCTGCCAGCAACACGTTCAGGGTCATTCAGAGGTCTGTGGGGCCAGTCAGCCCGAGTCTGCTCGCCTTCAAAGTCACGTAGAAAAGGACCCACCTCCCAAAACTTCCGTGAAGGTCAAGGAGCTTTTGCTCTCCTCCATCCCCAAGGGTCATTCTGAGTGTGGGGAGGAGCCAAGGCCCCAACTTGAAGGCAGCGTCCCACGTCTGTGACCGTACTGTGAGCCATTTCCAAGTTGGTGTTGGGAAACGGACTCACAACCTCCACCCAGGAGCCCGGCTCGGCGGGGGCAGAAAGCTCGGAGCATCTCCAGAATGCACCTCCCGCATTTTCTCCAGGACCTGCTGTAACGGCTTTTGCTGGCCTCGTTGCACTTGTTCGGGCTGGAGGTTCAGAAATGAAGCAGCTGGTACCCCACCTGGTGTCCCCACCTCTCTTCATGCTCCACAGCGAGCCAGGCATCGTCTCCGTCGGGGTCGGTGCGGGGAGACTATGACTGGGGTTTATGAGGACACATAGTCGCAGATTGTGGAAGGAGAACTTGGATGCCAGGAATGAGAACGATTCACATGGAAATACGGAGAATGTTCCACACTCGCCCCTTCTAATCAGGTGGAGGTAAACACTGGAAACTGCATGCAGGAAACTGGTATTTCTTCAGGAAAATGGCAGAGTGTAGAGGCTGCATCTAGGCAGACCGGCTTGCATGATGGACACAGAGGGAACACCGACCTCCTGGCTGGACACAGGCCCATCAGGGGACCCGCCTCAAATAGTCACAGGCCCTAAGTGACCAATGGGCTGCTTACAACCAGGCACAGTGACCAAAAAGGGGAGAATTCTGTTCATCCCCATGCCTGTTCACTTTCCCCCCCACTTAAAAACAGTCCCCCACCCCTCCTCCTTGCAGACAGCCTCTCTGCTGCTCTGCCCACGCTCCCTTGCGGAGTGGTCAGTAAACGGCCATCGCCCTTGTTCTCTCTCCGGTGAATTCGTCCACTGCACGCAGTACAGACTTCCACCGGATCCTCACCCCAGCTCTGGGGGCCCCCATCCGACTGAGAGACACCCCGTTTAGACATTCACAGAAGATGGCACTGCATGTAGTAAGTTGGCTTTCTGCTGTTGCTACACTCCAACTGGGCTGATGGGCAGTCCCTTCCCCTAGAGATAATGTCCAGCCCTAGAACTCCCCATTCTCATGTTATTAGTCATACACAGAGGAGAGCAAAAGCTCCTTGACCTTCACGGAAGTTTTGGGAGGTGAATCCTTTCTACTCAGGCTGGCTGGCCCCACAGACCTCTGAATTCAAATGCCAAGATTAAAAAAAAAAATTAAATAGCAAAGCAGGGAAGCTTTCACAGGAAACCATCTAGCAGCCTCTCCCTATCTATTTTGACCCAAACTGGGCACCAAACCCAAATCCTTCAAGCTGGCACGGGAGATGGAGCCATGTCACCCATCCCCCCAGCCTTATCAGGATTTCCCCAAGCCATGGAAGGATGGGTGGACACACAAATGTATGTGGGCCCCCCCATTAAGTAAACAGGGAAAATGGATTAGGAACTAGGCCCCCAAGGGCATCCGCTGCAATTAGTCTGGGAAAGACCTAAATTCAGACCAACATTAAAAAGAAAAAAGTCACTGTAAACTGTCACCAAAAAGTAATGATACAGAAGAGAGGTGTTCCATTCGGATTCCTGCAAGTTTTTACAGGCTTTCATAAGAACCGGAATGTTACTATCTGCAAGTGTGGGTGCTTCTCTCAGGAGACGTCTGTTCATAATGAACAGAGAGATGTTCATTCCCACTGGTAGATGGAAGAGGATTAAACCAGGCAACTGTGTGGGAGCCCAATCGTCTTGGGAGAAACAGAAGCCATTCCCAGAGCAGGAAGGACCGATCAGCACTGTGGCTACCCATGACAACCAGGCAGAAAGGACCGGTGCTCACGCTCCACGGGCAAGGAGGAAGGGCGTCCTGAGATGCTGGATTAGCTGATATCCTCGGGAGGAGCATGAATGTGCAAACACAACCCTCCCCTCTCCTAGGAGATGAACACACTGGCTGTCTCCAGGGGTGCCTTG